TTTTTTTTTACTTATTTCCTAATTTTTGCAGTGAAAAGACAATTTTTGTGGCTCTAAATGAGTTTTATTAGCTGGACTGATTATAAAATAGTTTCTGTGGATTTTAAACGTTGCAGACTGCTGAACCTAGGAGATGATTTCACTCAGGGAAGGATAGAAAAATACCAAAATGTTGCAAAAATGATCGAACGCCTCCTGATATTATTTGTTACTTTGAATCTTTCTTGTTAGTTTCCTCGTATCAGGAAGGCCTCAGTCCGCTCACCTGATTCTGGATCTTGACCCTGACTTGGTGAGCTCTCCTCTTGGCGCTCTCTATCCGCTCCTCCAGCGATGGCGACGGGTTCCTCAGCTGTTGGTCCATCAAGTCCTGCCGAACAGTAAAGTTCAGACGGATTAAACGGAACAAAGTTTCTAAACGTTAACAAAATGAAGACCTGTTTGGTCTGAAATCCTACCTGGAGTTCGGCCTCCTCCTGCTCCAACATTTTCCTGAGTATCTGACATGCGTGTTTTTGCACCTCTGGATCCTAAAGAGACACGCAGACATTTTTAGGGAAACATGATGTTTCCTTCCTTTATTTTATTCCTCGGTGTCTGAGCTTCAGGTCACCTGTAGCGGTTTGGGTCCAGTGATTCTTTGGGATGGTGGTAGAGGTGGGGGTGGAGGGGGCTGACCCTCCCCAGCCAGGGAAGACCTCTGACTGGGTGAAGCGTCTGTGGGAAGGGGCTCCAGGGGAACAGAGGAGGCTGAGGAGGCCGGTCCTTGCAGCGTCAGAGCAACATACGGCCCAGCTGGAGGACAAAAGGAGCAGCTCAATAAAAGATATAAACACTTTAAAAACAGAGTGAATCTGGCATCAAACTCACATTTTATGAGCTTCACCACCTCCTGATGAGTCATGGAGGAAACCACTGAGCCGTTCACCTGACAGGAGGAGATGGACACAAACACACTGAGATCAGGAGGTCAGCGTTTAGTTAGAAAACCTGCATCAGAGGGAGCAAAGCAGACCTTAATAATCCGGTCCCCCTCCTGCACCCCGGCTTTGACTGCAGCGCCACCTGGAGGAGAGAGCAGACATGTCAGGGCTGAAGGAGAAAGGTTTATGTATTTTAGGAACTAAACGCCATGCCTGAATTCCTCCCACTGTACAGACAGATTCACTTTAGGAAAGTTATAAAATAAGTGACCTCATTGTTTAAAGATGCGTTACCGACTCGGAGCCGACATCCAGACTGGAAGAGGAACTTTGCTTTAGAGAGGAATGCTTAAACACTTCACACCTTCAGTTGCTTTGATATCATTTGACACTTATGTTTCAAAGGGAATCAAACTTTCTGAACATCTGTAGTCGGAACAGAACCTCCTTCTGAGAGGAGCTCAGAGAACCGACCGCTGGGTACGAGCGAGGGCTCAGATGGAGACTAAGTATTCCATCAGGAGCAGATGGGGAGTTAATTGTGCTCAGGTCACATTTATGTTGACATTTTCTGGACATTGCTTTAAATTAGAGTTTATTTGGAAGCGAACTAAAACAGGATGACAGGAAACCCAGAACCTGAATGTTGTTGAACTCTGGTCCATTTGAAAAGCTTCCTGAAGGCACCACATCAGGTAAAGTAACCAAGCAGGAGGGACACAATAAATCAGGATATATTTATGCCATTCTACAACAGCACATGGAAACCAGTCTGCTAAATCACTCGGCATCGTCTATTTTGCTCTTTTTTATCATTTCTTTGGTTTATTTCATATTTTTCTGGTGGAATTTGTTCTTCGTTTGAACTCTGGGACATTTTAAAATAAAAAAAAAATTACAGAAGGAACCTGCTGAAGTATTTAGCTTCTCTTCCATCTGCTTTCAAAGAACACATGAAGGTAGAGAGTAGAGACAGAGGGACTGTTCAAGAGTTATTTCTGACAGGAAGGATGTAAAAAGCTGTCAAATGTAAAAAGGTTTTGTATAGTAGAAGGTTCCCTCTAAATCCTCGAAAGGTTGAAGATGAAGCATTCAGTTTATAAAGTCACAGTTTGGTCAAAATGAAGGTTCCTTTCTTCTAAGGAAGAAATCTTTAATAGATTGTGTTTTTTAAAGGACTGGACTTTTCCTCTGAGAATGTTTCCACATATATCCAGGAGTTTTTTGCACCTCTGTCTGCTGACTGATGCTGTTTTTAAGCCCCTGAGGGTCGATCTTTCTGATCACATTCCAGGTCAGAACAGGCTTTAAAGGTGCTTTAAAACATCCAATTATAGGTTATTCTACTGTGAACAGACAAAAAGCCCTGGACTGATGTCAAACCACTTTCAGAAATTTTTTTTACTGTCTGGTAGCTTCAGACACGACCAGGATCACCCAGAATTTATGCAGGAAGCTGTTTTTATGTCATTCATCAGCAAATGAAGAATATTTTTTTCAATTTTTAATATATTTACAATGTTCCTAAAATTATGAAAACAATTTAATGGGATAAAACTTAGTGGGTATATGTTTTTTTTTCTTTTTCCAAAGAATAAAGTAGTTTCGGATTCCTTAACACTGCCTGAATACAAAGCTTATACAATGAGAAAGGCAGTGAGGAGGTTTAGAAAAATGAAATCTGAATCAGACCAGGTTTAAAAAGCTGTTTTACCAAAATAACACTCTAATAGGAAGCCGCTCACGCTGAGGCTGGAGGTTTCTTCATGTTAAAAGGGAGTTTTTCTCTCTACTGTCGCAGCATGCATGCTCAGTGTGAGGGATTGCTGGAGTGTCATCGACAACATGCAGGTGAACAACTGGATGCAATCAGCAGGTTTTCCTTCACAGAAACTTTGAACCAATCTGAGTGTATCATCTCCTTAATGTGCCTTGAGATCACAGGTCGAGTGAATTGGAGCTAAATAAATAAACTGAATCTCCCAGCTGTACCTGAATGCAGCATGTTTAAGACTATGACCTGAAATATGTTCAGAAATTTTTAAATCCTTTCTTCAAGAATCATTTTATTCTACTTTGGGGTTTTCTATAGTTAATTAGAAAAAAAGAAAACAAATCATTTTTTGCAGATTTGAGAAGGTTTGGAAACATAAGCATCTGTTGAAAGAAGATAAGCTGAAACGTTGCAAAGGAGGAAAAAACCGAGGAGCTTTGAGAGAACCGATCAAAGGAATTCCATCAGCTAAAGTAAAGAAAGCACTAAACTGATAAAATAATCAATCATTCAGACAGCTGTGTAAATGTTTGCTGAAGTGTAACTTAACAGGTTTCCTTTGACAACTTTCTCTTTTTTCCTTTCCTGTATAATAATGCTTCCAGTTAGTTAAAAAACAAAATCTGTATTTTTGTTTTGTTCCATAAAACAAGCAGCTTCTCAATGATCTTAATATAAGTCTGATCATAAATGCAGAAACAGCTGATCTGAAGATGTTGGATCATTAAGGGCAAATCTCTCCTGCTGTCCCCGTTTTCCACCAGCAGGGGGCGATAGAACTCAGCAGGAATAAGGATTGCAAACAGTGGACTTTGAAGCCTCAGGAAAAATTGGGTGATAAGAAGGAAGGGGGAGGGAACCTGTGATTCTGCTTCTTATCCGCTGCTCTCCGTTTCTCTGAATCCACTGAACTGATTAAAGAAAACTGAAAGCAAAAGGCAGGAGAAGAGCAACCAGCAGGAGAGTAAAACTAGACACGTCAGAGATATGTTAAAGTCGTAGGGAAATCATATTTAAATGTCAAATCATTCTGGCTCAATGTATATAAATGTACTCTTTATCAGACTATATTGTCCCAAAAGTAAGAAAATTTCTATTTAAAAAAAAAATCCTGTCATAAAATCAATGTTTTTTTTCTTCGTTATCTTATGCAGGCCAGTAAATTATACATCAGGCTGAACACCTAAATTCGGCCAATCATATATCAACGGTCATCTGTCAATCTATTTTTTCGGTCATAGCATCTTGATTAATATGTCCCAGCTGATATACACAACTGTTGAAATAAGAATAATTTCCTTTCCCATTGAGTTCCGTCCCAGTGTTCACAGGGATGGACGTCTGTGTCTTCGGCAGGCGTAGAGCTAACAGAACTGGCAGCGTTGCGAGGCAAGGGCTCAAACATGTACGGCTGTAAGCCTTCTACACCGAACCAAGCTTCTGCCGCCCTGGCGTCCTCTAACACAACAACTTCGTCCCCGCTTTCCTCCTCTAAATAAAAAATGGATGATGGAGGAGACTCATCCACGACCTCTGACACTAAACTCTCCTCCTCTTGCATGTTTCCTCTGTCCATAGCGTTCCTTGACAGCGTCGTTTCTAAGTCAACAATTTAGTGCTACTTGGTCCCAATGGAATTTCCCATTGGGAACCTACTAGCACTAAGTTGCTAGCTGGTTAGCAAGATGCTTCTGACAAACCGGCCACAATCAAACTTGCTTGCGAACCTTCTGCCAAAACAATCCCGGCACCTTGATTATCTACCAATCAAATTCAACTTATTCACTCGTGTAAGTCGGGCACCACTCGGGAGAATTCAGAAATGAAACAGTCGGAACAGCCGCTTCCCCACGCCTTTAATATTAAACATTCTTTCATGATTTTTCCGCAGTGCTTTGGACCCAAACCTGCCCACATTATCCCTGACCTTTAGACTTTTCTTCTGCTTACTAATCAGGCAACTAGTTGCACAGGATTTTATTAACGGGCATCAGAGTAAATGGGGGGAAAAATTGAAATACAAAAATAGGAAAACTGGTCCATGTTGATTCTCACCTGGTCNCAAAAATAGGAAAACTGGTCCATGTTGATTCTCACCTGGTCGGACATTCTGCACAAGCTTGACTCTTTCTCCGCAGACGGTGAAGCCGAACCCCAGCTGGTCCTTCTGCACCACCACACACCTGTGCACCAGACCAGGACCTGACCCGGAGGGAAAAGCATCGGATCAGTCCAAACAGAACAAACGGAACCACAGCGCTAAAGTTTAGAGTCCGTTAGGAGCCAGAGAAAGGAAGCTGTGGTTACTTGCACTCTCATCCAGTGTCAGCTCCCTCTGTTGGCCAGCCGGGGCTCTGCGCTCCGAATCGCCAACTGTTAGACTGCTGACCCTGAGTTTTAAAGGAGGAGAGACAACAGAACATCTAAGCAAAGAGCTGAACCCATTTAGAATACAAAAATAAATGAGGTCTGGAGAGGAAAGAAAATAAAGCAAAGGGGAATGAGAAGTGACTGAAACAGACCACAGAGTACAGATTAGGAAACCTAATGAATAGAAGAAGAAGAAACAATGCGAGGTAGACGAGATCTGAGAGGAGAGGATGAGCAGAACATCAACAGGAAAACAGCAGATGGGAAAAACTCACCAAGCAGCAAAGGGGCTGAAAGCCAAGCGTGGTTAAAAAGAAAAGGAAGAAAACAGAGAAAAGAGATTTAGAACAAACAACCTAAAAGAGGGAAACACCTGATCAGACTGTTTTCTTCTTCTACAGAATAAAAGAGTGGAGGGCAGTCAGAACGTTTGATGAATGAAGAGAAAAAAACAACCTGCTGCTGAGAACAGTTTGGTTTAAGGGTGAAGGTTATTTTTCCTGTTTTTGGCGACGAGTCAATTTGATGTTTAATGAGTGAGCCGAGGTTGGGGGGGGGGTAGTTTGTTTTCATTACAGGAGCAAAGCGAGGCAGCAGGAAGCAGCAGCAGAGTCCAACAAACCGTGAGAAACTACTAAAAAAAAATGACTCTTCTGCAGAAAAAAATCAGAATAATTAGTGATAAAAAATCCAAAAGAACAGAAGATACTAAAAACTTTAAGGGCAAAACATAGAAATAAACGTGCATAAATTTAATGCACCTTTCTGATGTGATTAACCTGAAATAAAGCGCTGCAGTCTGGAAGAGATCATTCCAGAGATCATATTATATTAAAGTATCATTCAGGAGGAGCCTCATCACTGATCAAACCAAAGGATCCTGCTAGAAGACTGGCTGCTATTTTAGAATCAGAAGCTGCTTTAACAAAGCGCTACTTTAAACTCTCATCTCTTATGTAACAAGTTAATTACAGCTTTTTGGTTTGCGGCATTTCTCTCTCCAAGACATTTGTTTGGTTTTCAGTAGAACAAGATATATTTCACTATACATAGAGTTGATTTTTTTTTTATGGTTTTAACTAATTTAGCTTATTAAACTGATCTTTATTTCACTACTGAATCTCATGAAAATCTAGAATTTAAACCTTACTTCTATACATTTCAGATTTCTTCATGTGTATGAAGAACAATGACACCAATAATCCAGTACTTCACAAAACCCTTCACTTTATATTTATGTATTTCAACCTGTTCAGCCTCTGAAGCTATTTCACATCTTTTCTTTGCCCTTTGGCTGCTTGTCCTCCGACTCCATTTATTTTCCACTATCTGATTTGTGACTATTTTCAGATTTGATCTATTTTCTCCATATAAATGCAGTGAGGCACAAAATGTCGTCACCTAAAGCTATCAAATGGTCATCTGAAGGACTATAGATCTCAGCTCATTTTGCTTCAACCAGACTATTTTTCCTCATTCTTCAATTTTTTTTTTTTTTGCATATATATATATATATATATATATATATATATATATATATATATGACAGCATTCTGCCTTACTCGGGTAAAATGGCTGGATGGGTAAAGAGTGAAGAAGCAGCACAGGTCTAAGATAGGCCAGTAAACAGATTCCCTTCATAGAAAATATCTTATGCCACAGAAAAACAATCATTTATTTGAGAAACATTTTAAAAGATTATTACAGAATTTGGACCCCTTTGACTTTTTGCTTGTTTGCTCAGATTAAAATATCAAATATTCACTTTTTAAAATACTGAACCAAAGGTTCCTAGAAAAGGACATTCAGACATGGTTTCCAATGGGACTGATAAATATTTATGTGAGAACTCCCCAAGTTTTCCAGCTAAAAATGAAAATGAGTCTGTTAAATTTGTAAAGACAAAGAATTGCTGGAAGGGATGTTTTAGACCCTGATTCACGTCACTAATAAAGCAGACATTTGCAAATAAAAGGTCCCAGATGGGCTCATCATAAAAATGAAGATCCTCTATTGGTTAGAAATCTCAGTAGTTGACTACAAACTAATTTTAGAAACGATTAAAACCAGCTTCTCCTCCAGCTTTTGTCTTCACATAACAACCTGGAACAACACAAAGATATGAGGCTCAATGCTAGAGGGTCCATCCGTCTCTTTCTCTCATGCAAACTTCTAACACTCTGTAGGCATTAGCATGGTGGACACTGTTAGCATTTGGATAGTGGACATACTGTAAGTATTAGCATAGTGGACAGGCTGTTAGCATTAGCATATTGGACATGTTGTAGCATTAGCATATTGGAGAGGCTGTTAGGATTTGCATATTTGACAGGCCGTTAGCATTCACATTCTGGACAGGCTGTTAGCATGAGCATTTGGACACACTGATTGAATTAGCATAGTGGACAATGTTAGATTTAGCATAATGGCAACTGTAAGCATTAGGAAAGGGGACATGCATTTAGCATTTTCATAATCGATAGGCTTTCAGGATTCGCATACTGGACATGCTGTTAGCTTTAACATATTGGACAGGCTATTAGAATTAGCATATTGAACATGCTGTTAGCATTCGCATATTGGACAGACCTTTTAGCATCTGCATAATGGACAGGCTGTTAGCATTAGCACGTTGGACACACAGAATTAGCATATTGGACAAGCTGTTAGCATTTGCATAATGGAAAGGCTGTTAGCATTAGCATTTTGACACACAGTTAGCATTAGCATATTGAACAGGTTCTTAGCATTCAAATATTGGACATGCTGTTAGCATTCAAATATTGGACAGGCTGTTAGCATTCAAATATTGGACAGGCTGTTAGCATTCAAATATTGGACAGGCTGTTAGCATTCAAATATTGGACAGACTGTTAATATTAGCATATTAGACAGGCTGTTAGCATTAGCATATTGGACACGGTGTTAGCATTCACATATTGGATAGACTGTTATTATTAGTATATTAGATAGGCTATTAGCATTAGCAAACCTGTAGGGGGAGCTCTACATACAGCCCCTATAGTAGGATCAAAGAAGAATGCTAGCACCCATTAGCTTGCTAGTTCGCAGCAGCAAGAGCTTCTAATGAAAGACGGAGCTTCGTCAGCTCTTTAATTCAGCTCTTGAGCCCAGTCTCTTCATTGGTACGACAGATTTAATGCGGCAAATAAATATCAAAATGTGTGAATCGAGACATTTGTTGCTAAATGAAAATTTGCCGCTTCTTTGATTTCCAACTTTGACATCCGACCCCAGCAGTTAGGAAAAATCAACACCTTAGAATAAGTCGCATTGTTCAAAGCAATGTGGGAAAAAAGTAGACCCTTATAGTCTGGAAAATATGGTAAACAATCCATGAGTTATATTAAAACTTAAAATCAAAACGCTAAAGATAGCCTTATGCCTCTTTTTCTACATTCCTACACTCCACCCCACCAGTTTTCTACAATAGCTGTTTTTTTCTCATTTAGTACTTGATTATTTTAGTCAGCCCTGCTCAGAAGTAGGAATGACCAGAGATTAAATAGTAGGGATGAACAAAAGGCCATTACAATTAATCTACAACAGAAAAAATGACTTTTTGTTGATCTGTAGAGGTGCAGAAAGAAAAAAAAAACAACACACACAACGTGGTGAAGACAACCATTGATTAAAAAGTTAGCTGGGATGTAATCCTCATGGACTCTGATAATAGAAGAGATTCATCACTGAGGTTTTTATTGGTTCATCCGTCAATTGTAACCTAAAAAGGCCAGATGAGACTGATATGAGCAACACTGCTTCTTTCATTAGAAATAGATGAGAATCAATAGCTTTTAAGGCTGAATGTTATGGCCAAAATTTATATCACCCTATATTAATTTCAGTTGATCAAATACAATCATGATATCAATTTAAAAAAATATTACATCCTCAAAAAAACAGGCAAGAAAGCTTATCTCTCTCCCTCAGTCCCTCCCTCTCCCTGCTGCCTTTCAGTTAGTTTATCTTCACCTAATTTATTTTTTCATTATTTGCATCCATCCAAAACAAACACACCTCAGTCTGATAGTCTATGTTCACAAAGTTAGCAAAATAACTCATAACTGCTCTTGAAATACAAAACATTCCTCCCTTTCTCTCATTTTTAACTTCACTTATCACTGTTGTTAAAAAAAAAAAAAAGTAATTCTATGTGTAAAAATCACATCCAGGGTTCTTCAGGGCTCCATTCTGGGGCTCCTCCGATTCAACATCAACATGCTCTTAGCTCAAATTATATCAAACGAAAAGATCAGTTACCATAACTATGCAGACGACACACAGCTTTACATCACAATGTCACCAGGTGACTATGAACCCATCAGAACGTTGGTTAGATGCTTAAAGTAGATCAATGTGTTGATGCACCATCATTTTCTACAACTGAATAAAACAAACTGAGGTAATAATCTTCAGACCAATGGAGTTAGCGCACAGCTTCAGCTACTACAGCTAGAAACCACTGATTATGGCTGAAATCTTGGTGTAATGATGGAGTCAGACCTGATCCTTCAGATGCTCATAAAGGCAGTTACTAAGTCAGCCTTTTATCACCTGAAGAATATTTCCAGGATTAAAGGAGTAATTTTCAAGCAGGATCTAGAAAAAATTATTTATTCAATTATCTTTAGCAGATTACTGCAGTAGTGTCTTCACAGGTTTGCCTACAAAGTCCATCAGACAGCTGCAACTGATCAGAAACGCTGCTGCCCGTGTTCTCACTAGCACTAAGATAGTAGAGAACGTCAGCCTGGTTCTGAAGTCCTTCAATGTCCTACTATTTAAAGACCGTCCTGGGTCCAGCACACCGGAATCAAACAGCTGAAATACATCATTAATCATCAAACTGAGCTAATTTTAATTGCTAAAATAAATGCAATTTGCAATTGTGCAAAAAATAATGTTTTTTGTTAACGTTTTTGCGCTTTGGTAAGGTAATTCTTCAGTTGCATCGAAACTCTTTAGGACTTGTTATACTCTCATAGCAGTGTGTCGCAGTGATCTTGTCGCAGACGACCTGGTTTCTGAGCATAAACCAGCCTGCAGGCTACGTTCACACTGCAGGCCTTAATGCTCAAATCCGGTTGGAGTCAAATATGTTTGGTAAATGTAAACAAATCCACGTTTAATTGGCTGCATTCACGCAACTTAAGTGTCCCACATATGCAGTAGAGGACGCAATGACATCACAAGCAAGCATGCTCTGTGTTTACGGAAGTAAACTTAGATGGTAGTGCTGGAGAACATCTGGCAATCTTTCAGTTCTTTCCCAATCCCAGCCAGTGCATTAATAACGCAATCTTTTCAAGAGCGTAGCAAATAAAGACTGATATCTGCATTATCGTCCATCATACTGCCTTGTAAAAAGATGAAGACCAGATGCAGATGGAGGATGATGCTGCCCACTAGAGCTGTGGCTGAAATACAGATAGATCTCACATGTTTACATCCGAGTTACTGTGTGAACAAATGTATTCACGTGAAATTTAAACCAT